AGCATCGTGAGATAACTAGAAGGTAATGAAAGGAGAAGCAAACAAGTAGTCTGCCATGCAACACCAACAGACCTCAATACCAAGAATCGCAGGAACTACTGAACGAACTCAGATATCTCCTCCAGAATCCATGGCATCAAGGCCCATTATGGGTGTGAAAGAAACACTCGGGACAAAGCGATGGCAAGGATCAGGAAAAGTACTTAGAACAAAGTGTGAAGAACACATCCTCCTCAGTCGTACCAGCCTCCTTATATGGTATTTTTCCCACTCCAAGTCATATGATCCACAATAGTCACATGTGTGAAATCAAATCATAACAAAAAAATCATCTGATTAAAGTAGTTATATGCTCAAAACCTATGACCTCGTAGCAAGGTCATGTGTGAAAACTCAAACCAATCATAATACAATAAACAAGTCATATGACTCTAAGTAGTCATATGAGCGAAACCTATAACCTCATAATGAGGTCATGTGCTAAACATAAATCATATGTGCAAGGCATACCTGCAGGGTACACTTGCAAGGCACACTCGCCAGGCACACATCCCATAACTCATACTCGAGTCATGTGCAAAACATAAATCATAATATAATAAATCATATGGCCCGAATGAGTATTACATGCAAAACAATAACATACCTATAACTCATAACCATGCATCACGTGAAAACCTTTTCCTCACCAAGCCACATTTGTGATAATAATATTGTTCTCATGATTCTATTCCACTTTACCTACTTTACTTCGCTCTTAGTAGTTATAAATAAAAAGAGTGAAATTAGAGCCTTCCTAGACAATCTCCATCTACAGAAATGAATTTTAATTGGCCTAGACAACTCTGAAGTTTATCAGGTTGTCTCTACCTAACAACAACCTAGAATGCTATTTTTGTTAGGCAGAGACAGTCTGTATAGACTCAAAATTATCTAGGCCAATCAATATTCATTTTGTAGATGGAGATTTGTCTACGCAGGCTCAAGGGGTTACTCATTTCATTTATATCTACTAAAGGTAAAGTAAAGTAGAATAGAATCATAAAAGCAATATTATGTTATTAGTGTCTCTTCTCTATTGCTTGATGATGTCTAAAAGCTTGGGAGGCACTTTAATATTTATATTCCGTGTCTGATTGTTCGCAGACTACATCTATCTCTTATATAAATTAAGTACCTCTTTAGTATAACTCACAATATCAGGTATTCTTCTGAAGTACGAACACTGAGAGACCGTGAAAACCATCATACCTTTTTGGGTAATCACTACTTTGTCAATTTGAGAAACTGTACTGTTTCCAATAGTCATTATTCAATCTTCAAAGATTTTAGACTTGTGGCCTAGTTCTCAAATCAAACTGTGTTGGCCCCCAATTGTCTCACCTATTAATGAAATGATCACTTTCATCTACAGGTCATGTCTGCTGGTGTAGTTGAGAATGCAAGCTTTCTAGGTTGCAGAATTTAAACCTCCATAACTCCTGATCCAACTGACAGATATCCTCTGGATAACTTCCTACTAATTCGCAGGGAGCCATTCTACCAGATAAATTGATAATCTATTGGTAGAAAACTCTAGGTTGTTCGAGATAACAGGGCTTTAGTTGAAGTCTAACATTGAGGATAATTCCCGCAATCAAGATGTATTACTTGACCTAGTTATAATGCTCCGCGAAGTCTATTAGATTCTTTGATAGTATACTCTAAGAGGTCTAAACTCTTCTAATTGTCGTAGGGTGGATGTGAATATGCTGGTTCTTTGTAAAGATTGTCTAACATTCAATATCATATCTTTGTACAAAAACATCCCATTACCTTTGACTCATAACAAAGATGTCCCATATTTGATGCTTAGTAACTCTTGGAGTAGTTAACAGACATACTCCATTCTACTTTCCAAACCTAGCTGAAGGTCTCTTCTCATATACCCTGCAAACTGGATTTGGTCGGAAAGACAGTAGCGACATATATGGTAATATTCTGGCACCCTCAATTCTGGTACTTTTAACAATTTTTAACAATTTTAATCTGGTCATATTTCTCATACCAGTAGTATTAGTGTCAAAATATAACTAAATAAGATTACAATACTGTCTTAATATAAAGTACAGAATTCAACTTTGCCTTCACTAGAATTAATTTCAATTCTGATAGGAGTAGACTATAAAAAGTAATTTAGATAATTTTATTCTGGCATTAAGATACAGAAAAACTATTTTTACCATCCTCATATTACAAATGTAGTATGGTTTGTAAAGGATTGTATATGTTATAATTTTAATTAGTATTTCATTTGAGTCATATGATATGATTATTGTTTATAGACATGACCTGTTTTGGAGTTATATGGGTTTCTTATTGACTTAGATTTTAAGTTATAATTATTGTGTTATATTGAGATCATTAGTTGGATAGGAGTAAGCCTTATAAGGTTTACTTAGATTTCACACATAAGAACTATTTAGGGGTCAGGGGGGCTATGCATATAATCCAGGAAGAGGTCATGAGAACAAAGAATCATGTAGTTATATAGGATGCAGCCACAATCTATATGATAGTTAGATTTTATTAGGAATACCGGGATCCGATACCTAGAAATCACCCTAAGTAGAGTAACTCTACCCAGAATCGGAATCCCTAGTCTCCAACTCCCTCCTCTGACCTCCTGATGGGGCCTGCACATTATCATACATATCAATCTCAGTTGTGCCCTGTGACTATAATGCTACAGAATTGAAGGTGTCAGAATGACACTGTATATGTCACCACCATCTGTCCAACCGGGTCTTGTTTGTAGAATATATGAGAGGAGACCTTCAGTGAGGGCTAAGTAGTGGAACAGAGTAAATCCGTCAACTACTCAGAGAGTTACTAGGCTTTAAAGATGTAATGTCTTAGGCATGGACCGTAGGTAACAGGATATTTTTGTATAAAGAGATAATATTGAATAGTAAAGGATCTCAATGAGAGACCAATACATTCACATCAATCCTACAATAACCAAGTAAGTCTAGAACTCCGAGGAACACTACGATAAAAGCCAATGGACTTCACGGAGTATTACAACTAGGTTTCGGAACACCTCGTAGTTGTAGGGATGACTTGCAATACTACAACGATTGAAACCCAGTTACCCAGAGCAACCAAGGGTTGCTGACTGAAGGAATATTTGTCAATCCAGTAGAATAGCTTTCTGCAAATTAGTAGGAAGTTTTCTGGAAGATATCTATCAGTTGAGTAAGGAGTTATGAAGGTTTGAAGTCAGCTGACCTAAAAAGGTTGCGATTATGACTACCTTTGCAGATGCAACTCCTAGATGAAACTGATCATTTCATCAATAACAGAGACAATTGGTGTCAAATCAGCTTGACTTGAGAACTAGGCCACAAGTTTAAAGACTCTAATGATTGGATAACTACTATCGGGAACAGTATAGTTCCTAGTTTGTTTTATCGTAATTGTCAAAGATGGTATGGTGATTTTCAGGATCTTTAGGTGTTTGCACTTTTTAAGAATACCTGATATTGCGAGTTATAATCAGAGGAGTACAAAATTGTATAATAAATAGATGTAGTCCGCAAACACTCAGATGTAGAATATAAATATTGAAGTACCTTGGAAGCTTTAGACATCATCAAGTAATGGAGAAGAGACCATAATAATATAATATTGTCTTTACGATTCAATTCTACTTTACCTATTTTACTTCACTCTTTGTAGTCATAAGCAAAATGAGTGAAGTCTAAGTCTTCCTAGAAAATCTCCTTCTACAGAAACAAATCTTGATTGTTCTAGATAACTTTGAAGTTTATTAGGTTATTGCCTAACATCAATGCACACTAATATGCAACTGAGATACACCAGCCATATCTTATCCCTTTCTTAGAAGGTATAAACAGAGCTCCAGAAACCATCTATATGGCTACTAATAATGCATCATGGTATGCTGGGTTGGAAAACAAGAAATTGCAGGAGGAATATGGATATAAAAGATTGCCTTGGCCTTCCAACTTACCAGATCTCAACCCAATTGAGAATGCCTGGGCACTTCTCAAAAGAGCCCTCAGAAAGTGATTCTCCAAGGAGTAAAGAAGGCCCCATAGTGCTGCTAAATTATTTCAGGCAGCAAAGGAGGAGTGGGATCTGATTCTACAGGAGACTTTGGATGGGTGGATTGAGAGGATGCCTGAGAGACTTCAGGCTCTACTAGATGCAAATAGAGGTCATACAAAATGGTAGCATTGTTGGGTTGATATTTTCTATTTCTACTATCATGGATTTTTTAATTGAGTTCATATCATTTTTTTTTTTTTGTGGTTAACTTTACTGTTCATTGTGGTGGAGCTGTTGCCGGTGACCGTACGATAACTTATTAGACAGGGCTGTACCTTCTGTTGCTATTCTTTAAAAAAGCATTGCTATACATGATTTGCTTGTTCTTCATGCTCTGTTCCCTTTTGTAAGTCTAATTACTTTAATAAGTACCATGTATGATAAATGACCTCACTGCTAACCACTTTGTATTGCTGTTTTCTACTTTCTGCCTCTTTCTTTTATTTTTCTGACATACTTTACCAGGTGTCGCTATTGCTTTCCTCTTGTTAATAGGTTTTCTCTTCATGTTTGCTTGGTTGCATTTTGTCTTGTCTGATATCTTTGCTGTTATTGGGCGTGTCTTGGACACCGGAAGGGGTGGCATAAAATTTTCCATAGTCCAAGAGATAAACGAGGGGCTGATGCGATCTCCGTCGCCCCTGGGACTTTGCAATGTCCGAAAATCCATGTAATCATACTTGTAACACAGGCATCAGGCACCATACCATATCATATCGTTTATCATGTGATACTAGGGGATACTGTAATGCGCTCAAGGTTGAGTGTCGGATGTCCATCGCCGGTGGTGTCTCGCCCGGATACCAATGGTTCGGCTGGGTGCTTGTCAGAACGTTGTGTAACTTCTGGACCGTGCCATCTTGCCCGGTGAGCAAAGACAACTGCTCATGTCGATGTGCGTCCCAGGGCCCGAAAAAATTGGATATAAGTCCAGCAACTCTGGGGGAAACTCGGGAATGAAATCCTCTACCACCTCGCAGACCGATATCTTGGAAGCTACGCGTGATCACAACATCGCGTCGTCTATGAGAGAGAGTTATCGCATGAATCGACCGAGCACTCAAATGAATCAGAAGCAGCCCCCGTTGAGACTCCTGTCCTTAGGTATCCGGCCTGCAGAACCCCGCTTTTTTATTTCTTTCGCTCGCTACTGACAACTATGTGATTTCTTATCTAGATGGTGGAGGGGTTAGAGGATATAGCATGATCATGATTCTACAGGAACTTATGCTAAAATTATTCGTGGAGATGCACGGCCGGGCGCCCAGGAGGGAGGAGATCCCAAAGCCATGCGACCACTTCGACTTGATAGGGGGTACTGGCACTGGTGGGTATGCCTTATATTCCTAGCTTCCTGAGGAGCTTAGGGACATGCGGCTAACCTGGGTAGGCTTATCGCGATTCTAATTGGACGACTGCGACTTGATCTAGAAACTTGTAAAGAACTATACGTGAAGTTGACCAGGAAGGTCTTCGAAACGGACAAGACAATTGCCGGACTGCCGTATCGGAAAACTCTGTTTAAAGCTTCAAAACTCGAGGAGGCCATTCGGGAGGTTGTACGCGAAACTAGCATGCGAGACGGAGAAGAGACGGTGAATATGTTTGTCGATCCTAAGAGCCCAGTCGCACAAATCCGGCGGAGACAGACTTCCAGCTCTTTTAGAGAAGCAAATGGGGGTCGGAGTAGTTTGAAGACAGGGGTGCAGTCGCCTGGTCTACAATGGGGAAACGAGAACGCACTTCTTCGCGACTTGAGGCAAGGAAGTTGCAAGACGTGAGTTTATGGTTCTGGTAATCTGGGTAACCTGCCCTATGCTCATCATTTTGAATCAGGTTCATGACAGCTGTCTACAAGGGCTCGGACGGGGTGTCCTCCCCAGCGTTACTTAGAACATACGAATCGGCGCACGGAACATCCCCATCTGCCGACTGCACTATTTGGGAGGCCGGCAGGGCAACTTGCGCGACTTACCCTGCTTTCAAACACATCCAGATCGGACAGAACACATTCCTAGATGAGGGCTCCGGGAGATATAGCCCTGTCGCTCAAGTTCTTGAGGAAGCGCTTGTACACGAATGGCCCGGTCGAGAAGTGGGTCTTCTGGTCTCTATAGGGAGTGGGAAGGGCCCGGAAGGGTTGGAGGCCAAAAAGGAGCCCTCTGCGATTAAGTCAGCCACACCTTTTGGAAAAATGATTGAGGCCAAAGAGAAGCATCGTGCGAGGGTAGTTGATTGTGAAGATATCCATCAGGAGCTTTTGGAAGGTTTGCACCGCACCGGTATACAGAAGGAGAATTACTATCGGCTGAATGTTGAAGTTGGGATTACCGACTTTGGCATGAACGAGTGGAGCAAATTGGCAGATATATCGAACTGCACTCGAAAGTACCTTGGCCGACATGATATCCAAATGATGAACAACTCGGCAGCGAGTAAATTGGCCGAGATTCATAACGGCAGCCAGGGCCGTCTCAACGTAATACTCTTTCTTGAACTCCAATTTAACCTAAACTTTCATTAGCTGACTCCATATTTTCAAAGTTGGAAATCCTCAACCGAGAGCTACCAGATCTGCCCAGCGAGGCCTTTGACTCTGAGGAGGATGAGGAAGTAGCCAAAAACTTTGAAGAGCTGCACAGGATAAAAATGAAGATTAGAGCCTGATGGGCTTCTACTTTCTCACCTGTATTGCATGGGAATATTTTGGATATCTGGTGTTTATGGAATTTTGGTACTTAATTTGGAGTAATGGAGGGGAGCGAGGTCGAATGATTAAGAAATTTCGTGTCCCCGGTTTTGTGCAGACGTTGGAGTGTGAAAGCTCCTTCGGGATAGGATGGCTATTGGACAACTGCATAGTTGGTGTCATAGCTTGCGTTCCTACATAACTTATTATCAATTTCTCAAACCCTGTCAGTACCCGCCGGCGCACCGTCAAGATCAATTTTTTCCCCCTGCAATAGCGCCTGGTTGGCATAAACTAGACAAACCGAAGATGGGAATGCCGGTACCGCGTCCCGGTGTCTTTGGATGCTGGATACTGAAAGTGAAGTGATCACGGAAAGGGACTTAAATGCGAGTTCCCGACAAGATGGCATCCCCCGAATTTAGTCGCAGGAGAGCGCCACAAGGCACTTGTGACTACATATAGTAAAGACTGCTGTGTTACTGTATTAGTTCGCGATGGAGTCAACAAAAATAAATCTCCTACTTAGACCACGGCCGGTACAGTGCAGGCAGGCATCCGTGTTTCAAACCTCCTTGTGGCAAGGTGAGTCTTGAGGTTGGCGGGACTAAACCGCAGTAGCTGACCAGCATATTAGAGAAGGCTGATCTGGAATAGGAATCGATTGGCTGTTTTAATCCTGCCTGTGTATGTCAAGGGAGGGTTAAAAGGATAATTGATTGAATTATTTATCTGCCAATCGCAATTCTATAGTACGAGCGAGGGTAGTCTAGATTACCTACTGTACTGTACGTACTGCTTGTACAGTACTTAGGGTACAGGCAAGGATGCGAACCTCGCTCTCATAGGCCCGATTTACTATTGTATGCATGTTACCCGCGCATATAACTGGTCGGTTTGCTCACAATTTGGTAATGGAAAAAAGTCAGTCAGTCGAACTCTTGGAGTGGTGGGGAAGGTCATAGAGCCAATCAGAGAAATCAGAGAAATCAGAGGAAGTTCGACAGACTTACCCACAACCCCCGGCACAGCACCATGGGTATTCGATTACCTGTGGCTCGCAAATTGGTCCAGTTGCTAAGCCTAATTCTAGTACCGGTATCATAGTCAGGTACAAGTAACAGTTATGAAATTGTCAGCATTACGGCCGTTTGGAAACCAGGAAAAGTACCTGCTATAATCCCTTTTGATCGCGGCGGGTTTCCTACAGGTGAGGTTGATGGATATATCTGTCACGTACCTTATCAAAAAGAAGGCTCACTAAATTTCCATCATCAGGCTTCACATGGCCGATATATCTATCGACCACGCTTGTAATACCCCGCTGAAGAATGTGGCAGCCTTCTCGAGTGCTACATGCTTAGAACAGGGGATTTCGGTATGTGCGGTAGACTGTGGGTCCTAAGATTGGGCCTGCGTGCTCTACCGGTACCTGTATGTTCGGTTGGCTTCGTAATAGACTAGCTCAGACCGGGAACGTCTCACCGCACAATCCCATCCATCATGAGAACAGAAAGCACGTCTCAAAATAAGGTCCCAAAACTAGATAACGGTGCAAATTGTAGCAATACCGTACCGCTTACCGGGTTCCGAATCTCATCTCGGGTATCACAGCACAGGTGCTTGTCTTGACTCACACTATGAGCAAACTGCCGGCCTCAATGATAACTCCACCCCAGATGCTAGGATGCCATCTAACCTTTCCCCCTGCGAAAATCATAAGTAAACCCCATGGTTTCCCAACCCAAGACAACAAGACATGTGGGTTCCTACCATGGGTATGCAGGAGTCATGTTTTGTTGGTGAAAGGGGCGGGGAACTCTCAGAATTCCTTTTCGTGAAGTGACCAGGGGCCTAATCTGCCCCATGCAAATAGAATGCTCAAACGTGTTTGCCTGAGCACTCTAGCATCGCTCTGGTATTGCACAGCAACTACTACTGGTAGTATCCCCTAATTTACTCGTGGCCCTGCCTGGCTAATCCGGTTTTGGGGAACGAATTGTGCTAAAGATTTGGTGGCCTGGGGGAGGCATATCCAAAGCAGTTATCAGAAAGACTCTTGTTCTGTTATTGGTAGGGATAGCACTCGGGGTCTGAGGAAGGTTAAAAGAAGTTTGCCTCGGGTCAAATGTGATTCCTTCCAGAAAGATGCAATGTAGCTGTTGTTTGGGTGTCGGCCAAGGTCCGGACAGGCTTACCAGTACCGTGGAGATGGAGGTAGTGCTCTGCGGTTTTTTTTTTTTTAAATTCTGGATGATGTGTTTAGGGTTTTATATTGCTCTTAGTTAGGTTTCTAAAGGGTTCTAGAGGGTTTTGTTGCAACAAGGGATCGAGAGATGTAAACTACTTCCACGGCCGAGTTGAGGTTGGACACCCAAGGTTGCAGTTCCCATAGAAAGTGCCCAACATCGACTCGGCGACGAGAGTATGATATTATAAAAGGCACCTTCTTTCCTATAGCTATAATAGCTAGCAGCAACAACGAGGACAGGGACTTCCGATTAACAAAAACCAGTGCAACTAATCTGTGAACGGAAGAGAGAGTTAGACGAAGAACGGTGCTGCTTTGATCACAGGGACACGAGTTAATTGGTTTCCTTCCTGTTTTTCCTTTCTGTTTGTATACGAAGTTTTACTGATCATACAGGTTTGGTTCTTGCCATAGACCTGGATATTGCACGTTCGATACCCTACAATCTCATGAAATCCACTATCTCCAGCATTATACAGTTTAGTTTATGAGGTTAAACACAGCCTGACACCATTTAACGAGGTTTGGCAGATCCCACGATACCGCATTTAGTAGCCGCTATTCCTTCCCAGGTTTAGCGTTTTGTCAGAGCGGAGATAGTGGATTTCACGAGATTTTACGGTACTGGTATTGTTCTGGCGAGTACGGAGGTACAATGCCTAAGTTTTGTATGTTACACTAGTAGTGAGTGTTGTGTGAACCACTTGTGTAACATACAAAACTTAGTAGCTGTATCTCCGTAGTGGCGTTAGTCTTCCTAGAGGTCGCTGCCTCTCAAAATTGGATTACAGGTACCCAGATAGGGTAGCTTGTGGGATGACTGGTGTGCCATGCTCAAGCGCTCAGGCAAACACGTTGGTGGTGGTATCCTAGTCACATGGAGCAGATCAGGCCCTGGTCACTACCCGAGAGGGCATTCCGAGCGTTTTCTGAAAAAAAGAGAGAGAAAAAGATATGATAAAGCAGGATACTGAATGGGGAAAGAAGTGAGAAAATCGCTCGGGGGAGATCGGGTTGTGTGCCAAACCTCCACCCCGCGATGCGGCTACGGGAGATTTTTTAGCTCAATTGGATGCCTTATGGGTCAAGCTGTTGGAAATACGTTATCTCATCCAATGACGAGTCATATTTATGTGATTTCCTTGGTATGGAAATGGGGTGTCATGTGAGAGAATATGGCTATATAAGACCAAACGTATTTACCCCTGTTACCATGTATCTTGTGTATCTTGTTAACGCAAGCGTGGAAATTCATCTTTACAGTACATCTATACTATCCCTGTATCACTCGGTGTTATCCTGTTTCCAGCCAAAACTGGGCGTTGGTTAAGGTTAGGCTAGGCGGTGCTTGGAGTCTGAAATCGGCCCTTCAATGCTTTCCGACTATCATAGTAACCCAGGAGTGGATTTTAGGTGTCTACAACTACCGTATGCAGTCGAGGGCTCTTCTGAAAAGGTTGGGATGGTGGTCAAACAGACTCAGTAGCATTCTATTGGACGCCTGCACTACGTCCGGTCTTGGCAGGAAACCGGATAACACCAAATAATACGGTACTGCGTTCAACTATCAGTGCCGGCTTAGAAACCTAAGGGGTAGCCTAAGAGACTACAATATTTTCAAGGGTTTACAGGATTGTGCAATTGTAGTGGATTGTGAAGGATGCCGTGTTCGTATGGTGCGTGTCATTCAAAACGTGCACCTGTAACATAATCTCTAAAAATTCTAGGGCCTCTACAACTACCAATCAAATTTAGAAGTAAAAACCTAGGCAATAATCATGAGAATTGTTCCTAGGGTTTTTTCCCTTCTAACGTAGCTTGGCAGTTTTGGAGCCAATAGTATTGAAAGGTTATGTTACAGGGGCAAATTTTGAACACGCACCATATTATGGCGGGTATCGGGAGGGAGGAGAAGTTACCAGTTTAATTCACCCACTCTATTCTTGTTTCCTTAAGATTAAATCCAATTGACAATTTACATCGTCCCTATACCGGCGCCGAACGAAGCAGAGAAGAGGGTAGAAATATGACCGCAGAAATCGCCAAAATACCACCACCGGTAGCCCCAATTGAGCTCGAGAATCGCTCACTAGCTGCAGGGTCAAATTTCGCACCTATAGGCACCCCCTCACGTTCAATCTCCGCCGGCGATGAAGAGAGTTCGCAATTGAAGGACAGACCGCCAGAGGGCGTGACGATCTTCGAGAGGCCCAACGTATCAACCATGAAGGGTGAGCTGCTGAGCATGAATTTCGCCGTCTTCATTTCTGGAATGAACGATGGTAGCACTGGTGCGTTGATACCGTACTTGCGCCCGGCATATGATATTGGGCTCTTGTTTGTTGCGGTTGTGTAATTCTCCCCTCCCCGCTCCTCCCTACTTCAAACATAGTAACTGAAAGATTGCGCGAATGGCAGCTACCTAATAAACTTTTCTGGCTGGCTTTTCGCCGCATTCACAAACGTGCACTTAACGGCCCGCCTGGGCATGGGCGGCGTCCTAACCCTCGGCGCGGCACTCCAACTTTCAGCATACTGTTTAATGTTCTGGAAACCCCCGTACCCACTCTTTGTATGCTCGTTCTTCTTCTCCGGTTTGGGTATAGCATACCAAAACGCGCAGGCAAACGTACTCGTAGCGAACTTGAATAACTCCCACAGATGGTTGAGTATCCTGCATGCCACATTCGGCGTTGGAGCCCTGCTCGGCCCGTTAATTGCTACGACTATCGCGGCGAGGACAGCGTATTGGCATTACTTCTATCTGGTCACGTTGGGGTTGGCTGTTATCAATTTGGGATTGTTGGCATGGATGTTTCGGGACGGGCTGTTTAAGGGAACTCCAGCTGCTAAGGAGAGTGCTAACCGGGACTTTAAGAAGGCGCTTTCCGAGAGGACAGTTATTGTGCTTAGTTTGTTTTTCTTGTTGTATGTTGGGATGGAGATTTCTGCTGGAGGTATTGCCACTTCCCACCATCCCTCCTGGTTATGATTTACCACGGGTGGGAATTTATCTGTGTTTAGGTTGGGTCGTGGAGTTCCTCATCCGAGCGCGGAATGGTAAGCCTTCTAAGGTTGGATACGTCGCATCAGGTTTCTGGGGCGGTCTTACCTTGGGAAGGGTTGTCCTCGCGGACGTTACGCATAGGCTTGGTGAGCGTAGGATGGTCTTTGTCTATATCCTCCTTGCCCTCATCGCGCAGTTGATATTCTGGTTCGTGCCCAATATCATTGCGAATGCGTTTATGATTTCACTCTTGGGATTCTTCATTGGTCCTTTCTTTCCTACTGTATCGCACCCACCCTTCGTACTTTCCTTCCATTTGGCTAATAAAGATAGGGTATCTCCGTGGCGACCAAGGTCCTTCCTAGAGAATTACATGTCGCATCAATTGGTTAGCCTTTATGACCCTCCTCTAATGTTTTGCCTGTGTTGATTATTGAATTCTCTAGGTTTCGCCGCAACAATGGGACAAGCCGGATCTGCAGCTTTTCCGTTCTTGACCGGGGCCATTGCTGCGAAGTCCGGCGTTAGGGTTCTTCAACCTATGCTTGTGGCGTTACTCGCTGGCATGTCGATATTTTGGGCACTTATTCCGCGTGCTTCCAGACACATATCCTAAGAGATTCGAGGGGTAAGTCAGGCATGATATCGACTCAGGCCGGCAGGACCTTTCGTGGAGAGGCTTGTTCGTTTACCTAAAAATAGAAAATAAAAAACTGGGAATAATTGGGAATCACGCTAGGACTGCTCCACTGTATTAACTCGTGAAAACTGGGAAACTTCTTGCGCTCTTCAAATCTTCATTGTGATGCAAAAGAACTTTAGAAAGCCCACCACTGAACAGAAATGGGAAAAAAAAAGCTCACTTTACCTGCCGCTCCAGCAACCTCGAGCTCCTATCAACTTGCGATCAATCCCAAATCCGTGTTTCTGAGTTGCTCAACACTTGGGAAAGTACTGCCTAATTTTATTTGTTAGAAGTTTTACCTTCAGAAAGCTAGCTCAGAGAATGTACGGGAAAGCAAACTTACGGGATGTTTTTGCGGGAGTAGAGTTTAGGATCGAGTCGGTGACTAGAACTTACTCTTCAACTCGAGCACACTAGGATGACTAATGACCCAAGCGCCAATAAGTGGATGAAGGCCAGAGTGGCCCAGAGCTTTTGATATTGTGTCTAGTACTAACCCTCGGCTGCATTAAAGAGTCGGGGGAGGGGGAGTGTTGAAGCCTGTATGATTTTAATGCGGCCGTTGCGATAGGCGGAGACAGGTAGTGATAGAGGTACAGGAATTGCGTAGTCGTGACATTGGTGAAGAAGGATGCTGAATGGGACACAGAGCGGAGCACTGAGGTGTAATGATGCTCCAAGAAATCGAGGAAAGCTTAACGTCCAGAGGGTGGAGATCTGCCTCTATATATGCAAAGTTGTGGGCTTGCCAAGCTGCTATACACCCACGCTTGTGGCTGTGCCCGCTGACACACATTAACATATAGGACTGCCCACTGATACACACTTGCACAATATACAGTAACCCTTATATCCCAACATACTGACAAGCTTGCTCCTCTATATTCTCCATACAACTCTATCCTAATGGGATTACAATACCATCAGATAGGCCATGGGAATATGATACCTTTAGTAGCATGCAAGTAGCTGTACGTTGGGATCTTAGTAGGGTGAGAGGGGTTCACAGCAAGTATGTGTCCAAGGCCCTGTTTGGCGGGAATAGAAGGCCGGTAGACCGTTCCATTCACACATACAAAATAACCATTTCAAAAAGGAAGGACGACCATTTTTGTATGGGGAACGGTCGCAAACTAAACGGAACGGTCGTTGCCCAACAGGCTCTAAGTTAATCTGTGAGATTGATGGTGGGGGGTAGTCAGAGTCTAACAGAATGCCAGGAGGGGTAGTATTCAAAGTTGAAAAACTTGAAAAAAAAACTTATGTAAGCTTGGCACATCCAGAAACAGTTAGGTTATTATAAGTTTAGGGCCTGTTCAGCACGCTGAAAATATTATACAATTTTCACTTTTATAGTGTATTTTATACAGCATCTTTATTTTAATTTAGCCTAGTGTTGTAACGATCCCTCCTTGGATAGTTAGTTCTTGGCGACAGGGAACAATACTTCTCTTCTTATATTTCTTTCCTTAGTCTTACGATAGCACTAGGCCTCTGCCTACGTTACTGATAGTATAAGACCTCTGTCTTCTATCGGGAACGCCTATTGTAAGCTTTCTCTAACTCTTCTTCGTGAAGAACTTTCCTTGGCGTAACGATAATATTGCAATAAAGATAAAGATCATAATGGTGTTTTATATTGGTTAAAGTAATAAGTAGGAAAAGTACTTAGAACAAAGCGTGAAGAACCTATCCTCCTCGGCTGCATCGGCCTCCTTATATAGTGTTCTTCCCATCCATAATCATGTGACCCAAAGTGGTCACATGTGCAAAACCAAATCATAACAAACTAATCATGTGACCAAAGTAGTCACACGCTCAAAACCCATGACCTCATAGCAAGATCATGTGAGAAAACTCATAAACCAATCTTAACGCAATAAATAAGTCATATGACTCAAATGAGTCATATGCACAAAACCCATAATCTCATAACGAGGTCATGTGCAAAACAGAAATCATACATGCAAGGTATACCAGCAAGGCAGACTTGCAAGGTGCATGTCCCATGACTCATAATCGAGTCATGTGTGAAACATAACATAATAAGTCATATGACTCAAATGAGTCATACGCGTGAAACAATAACATACTTATGGCTCATAATCATAAGTCATGTGAAAACTATTTTCCATGCCAAGTCATGTTTGTGACATTAGCTCCTCTCCCCCTAAGCCTGAGTCCCATCAGGCTTTATCCCCAAGTTTCAATAGTTCCTATCCTGCCGAACACATGGACTTCCAGAATCTACTGAGCTTGTCGTCTGCTTCCCGCCATCTTATCCTCACTGTTTCCAAGGTAAGGTTTGCCATCTCAATTGTGCACTGCTGGGTATCGTTCAGCTGCCTCAGCTCTATGATCATTTTATCGTTTGCTGAAATTGTGGCCTCGGCTTGGCTCAGTTGTTCTCTGAGTTGTCGTATTTATCTGTGCAGGCTTCTGGTATCCAGTTCCATCTCCGTAGATGAATTTTAGGCTCTCCCCTCTATGGGCCTCATCCTTGAGGTCCTAGCCCTCTGCCATATCATGGCATCCTTTCCATCTACCTCTTTCTTTGTTCCATTGTTCTGCGGGTAGTATCCCACAGTGATTTTCTTTATCCTGTGCATCTTGCATGTGTTGTTGAAGCACTGTTTTCAGTACTTTAGGGCATGGTCTGGGTGCAGACCATACTTTTTGTATTCTCTCAGGAACTATCCTGAGCCTTCCTTGTCCCCATATTGTATGGGACATCTATTATCATAGCATACTGTCCATAACATGGCGTTATGCTGTGCTTGTTTTTTCCTTTCCTTAAGTTCTTAATTGGTCGGCCCCATGAATGAGTATTCAGGGCTGGTGGGTGTGGTTTGGCATGGGCTATTGCTCCAGCCCTCGTGTTGTTGCAATGGCGCGGGAGCCTTTCCCTCACCTTTGTCTTGGTTGAACGTGATCGTCACCTGGGCCGGGCTTGCCTGGATATCGCTGGTGGAAGGTTGTGATGACATCTTGTGCCTGTTCGAAGTTGTGTGCAGAGTACCAAGTTTTATCATGTTCTGGTAAATAACCGGTCCACTTGGCTCGGTATTGGAGATTTCCGTAGGTGAAGCGAGAATCAACTATCTCGTCGAGTTCGTATTCTAGTTCTCTATTGAGTTCAATCAGAGGTGGAGGAATAATCGTTTGTGAGGGAAACTTATTGTCGTTGTGTAATTTGAGGAGTGAGTTGTGGAATGTGTTGTGTATTCACATTGAGGGTGGAAGGTCGGGTTTATAAGCTTGGTTGCCCACTCTCTCCAGTATTTTGAACGGCCCAATTTTCTTGTAGTGCAATTTCTTTGATGGTCGTATTGTATGGATATTGCGTGGTATTAGCCATACCATATTTCCCGGTTGTATGTTTGGATCTAGTCTTCGGTGATTATCATATTATTCTTTTTGCAGTTATTGTTATGCTTGACTTATTTCGTATTGTAATGCTTCGTGTAGTTTTCCCATGTCTGTTTTGTCCTGTATTATACTGTTAATCGTATAATATGTCGCCTAACTTTGCGGATGTTGTCCATAATTTGCGAAGAAGGGTGTTGTGCCAATTATTTCTTGTTTTCCATTGTTGTATGCGAATTCGGCCATTGATAGCAGTTTGTAAAAATCATCTTGTTGGTAATTGCCGTAGGCCCGTAAATATTGTTCAAGTATTGCATTTACCCGTTCCATTTGTCCGTCCGTTTGTGGGTGAAATGCTGTACTCAGCCTATTTTGTATCCCCATTTCTCTGGTTACTTTTTTCCACAGTCCTGGTGTGAACCATGTTCCTCTGTCAGTAAGGATATTCTTTTGAAGGCCGTGGAGTCAGAAGACTTCTTGGAAGAATGTTTGTATAAAATCCCTTGAGTCGATATCTTTTCTGACCGGAATGAAATGACTCATTTTGGTCAGACAATCTACTAGGACCAGGATGCTATCACATTTCTCTGATAATGATAGGTCCGTGATAAAATCCATAGTAATTGTTTCCCATGGTCGTACGGGAACTTCATTTGATTTCAGTAATCTGTATGGTGCGTGTTTAGCCATTTACGTCCTTTGGCATATGTTGCAATTCTTGACATATCTTTTAATATCTTCACGCAGTCCTGGCCAATAGAATGACCTCGTGATAAATTCTGTAGTTTTCGCTGTCCCTCCATATCCTGCCATTTGGATATCATGGTGTTGTCATATGATGTTTGTTCTTATCTTTTCTTCTTCCAGAATTCATTGTTTTCCGTCATACCATATGTTTCCATCCTCCCATTGGTATAAACCCAGAGCAATTCCTCTCATCTTCTTTTTTCCTTCCTTCAATGCCTCTCTTATTGCCAGAATTGTTTTGTCTCCTTCATTTGCCTTCTCGATTTCCTTTTCTTCCATTGATGTGAATTGGATAACCTCTATTACCTCGAAGCATGTTTTTGGTAATAATGTTCGTGTTTTTTATTTGATCCTTTTATCTTCTTTTGTTTGTAGTTTGTCACTTGCAATCCTTGTGAGAGCATCTAGCTTTCTGCTCTCTTTGCCTGGTCAGTATTCAATTTTGAAGTTTTATTTGCTGAGATGTTCCATCCACCTTATCTGGCGGTCTTTTAATTCCTTCATTATCATGAATGGGACCAGGTTCTTGTAATCAGTTAGAACTCAGACTAGATGGTCGTTGTTCAGAATATATCTCCTCCATTCCTTTAATGCTTGAACTATTGCTAATAGTTCTTTGTTTACAATGTCATAGTTGTATTCTGCGGGGGTTATTGTCTTTGATTGATAAGACACTGGCCTCCATTTTCCGTCTTCGTATTGTTGCGATAGTATGCCTAAACACACATATTTTAAGGCATCCGTTTCGATCATTGTCCTTCGGTTTGGGTCGAAGTGTACCAGTATTGGTGCTGATATTAGATGTATTCGAATAGCAT